GGCAGTCTCAGGCTCAGTAGATCCAGTTGATCAGCAGATCCAGCCTCTGGGAGTATCGAGGTAGCTGCACGGCGTTCGCAACCATTGATCTTCTCCCTCCTATCCTATCTCTTTATTTCCGCATTATCGAACTTTGGGTATACCGTGTATTAGGATGATATTCTGTATTCTAGAGGCTCAGATTCGTGACACCGGTCCTAGTGAGATTATATTGTGTATTTTGTTAAAATCTTCAGTACTTTAATCTAGCTTAATTGATATTTCTTTTCGCTATTTTTGATAAATTGGGTTAAGTGTTGAATAATGGCCGGGCTTGCCTAGTAGTGTGCTGGGCGCCATCACGACCGGGATTTGGGTCGCGACACTCCGGAACCGAACCAACTACTCCGACAAGTCACATAATTATAATTAAGCACATAATAAGTAGTAAATGGGAGAACAGAGTTACAACACTCAAAATGACTGGTCGGGTCGTTACAAAAAGTTCATCATAGGGGATCCAAGCAAAGAAATGAAAACCATAGGATCTCTCAAAAAGAAGGCAAACATTGCAATCATCTCTTAAGTAGAACCAACGAAAGTTGATAAAGCCCTAAAAGACTCCAGATGGATACAAGCTATGTACAACGAACTTGATCAATTTGACAAGAATCGGGTCTGGGAACTAGTACCTAAGCCAGCAAATACTACTGTAGTTGGAACAAAATGGGTATTCAGAAATAAGCTAAATGAAGAAGGAAAGGTAGTGAGAACCAAAGTCAGCTTAGTAGCTCAAGGCTACTCACATTAGGAAGGAGTCGACTATATGAAACCTTTGCACATGTAGCACGGTTAGAATCACTTCATATACTGCTTGCCTATGCATCTTTTAACGGTTTTAAACTATTTCAAATGGATGTCAAAAGTGCTTTTCTAAACGTTTCATTGATGAAGAGGTATATGTAAAACAACCTCCTGGCTTTGAAAACTCACAATTTCTTTACCATGTATATAAGTTAGCTAAAACTTTCTGTGAACTCAAACAAGCCCCTTGAGCTTGGTATGAAAGATTGAGTTCCTTTTAACTGATCATGGGTTCATCAGAGATAAGGTGGATACTACTTTATTTATCAAAAGATCCACTGAAGGTAATCTCATTATCAAGATTTATGTAGATGATATTATATTTGGTAGTACTAATCTTCTTTTGTGCAAGGATTTCTCAAATCTCATGCAAAGTGAGTTCGAAATGAGTATGATGGGAGAGCTTACATTCTTTTTTAGATTCCAAATTCATCAATCAGAAAGTGGGATATTCATCTGCCAAGCCAAGTATATAAAGGAATTAATTCAAAAGTTTGGAATGAGCAATGCCAAATCAATTGGAACTCCTATGAGTCCCTCTACAAGTTTAGACAAGGATGAACAGGGAAAATTGATAGATGAAACAAAGTATTGTGAAATGATTGAATCCCTATTATATCTAACTGCTAGTCGACCAGATATCATGTTCAGTATTTTTAAATGTGCAAGGTTTCACTTAGCTCCTAAGAAGTCACACTTAACTGCAGTAAAGCGAATAATTCGCTACATTGGAACCACCTCTTATGGACTTTGGTATCCACGCTCTAACAATTTTAAACTTGAGGGATTTTCAGATGCTGATCTTGCAAGTGATAAGGAAGCAAAAAAGCACAAGTGGAACCTACCAATTACTCGGAAAGGCATTAATCCCCTAGAAGAGTAAGAAATAGGGATCAATAGCTTTCTCCTAAACTAAAGCAGAGTACATTGCAATTGGACAATGTTGAGCTCAATTACTCTGGATGTCACATCAATTGGGTGACTATGAATTATCTTTTAAACCTGTTCAACTATTATGTGATAATTCTAGTACTATTTGTCTGTCTAAAAATTCGATGCATTATTCTAGAGCTAAACATATAGATATTAAGCATCATTTTATTAGAGATCATGTTCTTAAAGGTAACATAGAGTTATCGTTTGTAAGCTCCACTGATCAATTGGTAGATATTTTTGCAAAACCCCTACTTGTGGACAAATTATGTGCACTATGAGACTCTCTTGGCATTATTTTCATTTATTCATAATTTTAGGGCCTTTCTGATATTTTCAATTTTTTACCGTCTCTCAATCTGCATATTTTTTATGTGTGTAAGAGGCATTAATTGTGTCTTTTACTTTTCCTTTTTCACACCTTTCCATTGCTTTTCAGAAATTAGTCAATCATAACGTCGAATCATTGATGCTTTTCATGTGTACTCAACCGTCATTTCTCACATTTTTAATCCCAAGTCTCATCAATCTTCCTCACATTGTTTGTATCTCCATTCCTCTACTCCAAACCTTATTATGGAGAAGAACTCCAAAAACCCCTCTGCTTCAACCCGTGAAAGCACTCGTTCTCGAGTAAAACCCTCAACTCAACCTCCTGAACCAGTTAATCTAGGATTAGACTCTAAGGATTTTGCCTCTTCACAAGACCTCGCAGATGATGCGCGCAGTCTCAATGAAAAAGTCGTAGGAAAATGACCCATGGAAAATACCCCTGAAACCTTCACTTCCAAAAACCCCAAAACTGATCTCTCTAGTTCACTCGAGTCTGACCTGAATTGGGACACACCTAACAGGGATGCCTTCATTGATTTCAAAAACAATCCTGTCGCCCATGGCAGAGTTGTTGATTTAAATGTCAAGGAAAGTCTCAACTGCAAAGTCAAGGAGCTCTTTGACTTCCAGGGTTGGAAAGCTTTTCTCTACTTTCCACCTCCAAAGGTATATGAACTCCTTGTTAAAATGTTCTATGCTAATCTTCGCTCTAGCAAACCTTACAAGTTAGAAACTTTAGTTCTTGGCAAACGTATCATGTTGGACTGTACTCTGTTTGACTCTATTTTTCATTGTAGTTGTTCTGGTTTCTCTATACTTTATAATAATACTTGGCCTGAGGATTTAGAAATCTCTTTTGATCAAGCAAAAAGGTGTATAGCTTAGTCACCCTCTAATTTCCTTCCAGTCAACTAGGACTTAGAGATGTTTGTTTTGAAACTCGTATCTTAGCACATATTGTGGTAACCACTCTTCTTCCAAGAACAATATCCTTCTCTACCTTCTCCCAACGTGATACCTTCCTAGTTTACTATCTTCTGACTAAACAGAAGGTCAAGTTGTCTTCTTGGTCATCAATTTTATGATAGAGTGCCGATGATCCCACGAGTCTTTCCTATGGTATGGTCATCACCTATCTGTTAGAAGCCAACAACATATCTCTTATCGACAATCCCTATACTTCACTGTCACCAAGTCATATAACTCCAGGGAATTTTCTAGCATGGGATATATTGCGATAAAGGGAACTTGGGTAAAGAAGCAAGAATGTTAAGCCAAGAATATCCCTTCTGACTCAAAAGCGAAAACCCTTGTGTCTCTTCCCAATTTTAGGTGATCCTGAACTCTTAGAAAAGCTAGCCTTCATCAATGAAAAATTGACTATCATCAAGGACTCTCTAACCTCTATGCAAAGCAAAATTCAAGATGTGCATGGAGTTGCAAAGGAGACAGGCTCTGACGTGTCCAAGATCCTAGTGAAGAATCTAAAGACTGCAGAAAAAATAGTAAAGACTTTTAAAGAGGTGAATGGCATAATTGATGGGATTTCTGTCACAATGAATGCTAGTTTTAATCGCCTCAAGGAGGCTGTTTGCAATACTCTTACTTACTTTCTGAGACGTTGATGCATGGTTGTTCAAACACAATTTTTTTTGCTTCTTTTGAGACTGATGGTTCAGTCATGGGTTGTACTATTAGAACAACTACTTCTATTCTGCATGCTAAAGTAGGTTATAACTTTTTGTTGATGCCAAATGGGGAGCAAAGTAAGCAGGTTTAATGTTACACCCCAGGTTTTAGTGCATGAAAGTACGCCATAAGTAAAATGATGAAAGTCTGAAAATGAGATATTATATTTCGCATTTTCGTACATTAAAGCGTCGTCGTACAATAAAGCTTCGTCGTAAGATTAATCAACGCAAATTCGGGAATGAGATTTATTTTGGGATTATAAGTAATATGCTATTTATATCAAGCGATAAATAAGTGCTATGAAGGATAAAGGGGTACACGAATTAAAGAAAAGGAGTTTCGTCAAAAGTGGCCAATTTGGGATAAAATACGGGTCGAGCGATAATATCCGATAATTATAAACTAGTACTATGTAAGGTACCATATGACCATGGTAGTATAATATATAAATTATATATGAAGAATATTAAAAATAAGTTGAATTTTAAGTAATTTTTAAATTATGCGGGTAATTGGTTAATTACCGGGTAATGGGACATTACCCGATTAACTAATAAGCGGATAAAAACCTAATAGTTATCCCCAACCACGTGGAAAGAAGCCACTGAGATAAGAAGTGACTAAGTAAGTCACTTATAGCCACCTATGCAAAAACAAGATTGGACAACTAACTAAGTTATCTTCCAAAGTCTAAATATGAACCAAAATGACTCAAAGAAATGTCATTCTTTCAAAAGCTTCAAGGAACAGAAACGTTCCATCTCAAATTCTCAAGCAACCAAAGAAAAATGTTTTCCTCCAAAAAATTCAAAATGAATTCAATGTCATTCTTTCAAAACTAAGAAGAACCAGAAACGTTTTTCTCCAAAATCAAAAGAATTCAATGATCATTCGTTTCAATTTAGGAACCAGAAAATATTTTCTTCCGTGAATTTATAAGGAGCAAAGGCAAATTTCGTTCAAACAACTAAGGTCTTCCAACGAAATATTATACGGAGTTTCTCCTACTCCAGGTATGTTAAGGCTCCCTTCTTTCTTTGGGCATGATCCATACGATACGAATGGAACGTGCAAATTCACAAATTACATGAATGACTCTATTCATAGAAGTATTAGAGATATCTGTGTTCTTGAATTTCCATGTGTTATAATATCTTATCATCTGTTCATGGGTCTCAGAAAAATACGAAAGTTGAAAAGAGTTTACTTTATCATATAACTGAGAGGCAAAATGGTCTTATGACATTCCGAATGATTTTTTTGACCTACTTTTTATGTATTGCATTCATATGCATTGACCCATGACCAGATGGCGTTATATACGCGTATATATGTAAATATACATATATGGGATATGGAAAAAGGTTACGGTGTTATATACACACCACCACCTGATCAGTTGGTATATGATGATGATGTTGCCCACACTGGCTGAAATATGATTCAAACGGCGTTATATACGCATATATATGTATGTATTCAAATGGAGTTGTATATGCGTATATATGTATGTATGTATATATATATGTATATGGGATATGGGAATGGTTATGGTGTTATATACGCACCACCACCTGATCAGCTGGTATACGATGATGATTTTGCCCACAATGGCCGATATAATATGATGGGATGCCCTCAGAGACTGATGATATTATGAAACATGTACCTATGCAAGACATGACATTCATACTCATATGCATGATGTTAAAAGTAATTTATGAATTACAAAGTTATTCAGACTTACAGGTTGATTCATGTACTCTATATGTCTTCCATGTCTCTTATGTATTTATTTATGTGCCTTACATACTCGGTACATTATTAGTACTGACGTCCCTTTTGCTTGGGGACGCTGCGTTTCATGCCCATAGGTCCCGATAGACAGGTTGAGAGCCCTCCAAGTAGGCTATCAGCTCGGCGGAAGATGTTGGTGCGCTCCATTTGCTTTGGAGTTGCTTGTTTGGTTAGTATGATTTAGAC